AGAGACTGGCTGGCTGAGCGCGGCCACCAGGCGCACCTGGCGGGGCGTCGAGCTTGCAGCCCGTGACAGCATTCATCATCATCTCAACATGCTTTCCCCCCACGACTTCGGCAGCTGTACAAAACTCCAGAACTCGCAAAAGGAACTGCAAGTTCTCCGCCGTCGCCCCCTCCGCAATGTCGGCAACCATGCGTGGCGTCACCCGCCGCCCGCCGGCGGATGCCACTATCTCCACCAAGAGAGCCTTCAGCAGTGGGCCCATGCCGGCAAGATTGTGCGTTCTAGCCCATCCATTGCTGTTGGAGTATGCAGACTGTAACAGCAGAACGCCCCGCAGGTCAGGATGCGCCTTGGTGACTCTGTCCCAGTTTTGCAGTAGAGCTGTAACATGCTTGTGTTGGGACTTGCTGGTGCCGCCTTTCAGGCGTTTGGCAGACACGCCGAGACTGCTGCCTTTGCCACCAGAGTTGGTCGCTTCGTCGCGGCCCATAGGCCCCGCTAGAATGGCATTTGGGCTACCCGGAGTCGATCACGACAAACGAGAGGGAAAATGGTGGAGGTTTGAGGGAGATGAAGCCTGAAATGCATGATGGGTGGGGGATGCATGACCCCCGCCAGGAGGGGACCGGTGATCGGGAGGCCTACCTGCTGTAAACATCGCTGTCCTCCATTGAACACTTTCTTGGACGGTTCACACAGCACAGAAAGGTACAACAAATCACTTGACCGATGCTACTGTCAACGACGGTTGCATTCATACACTCAGGTAGCGCGAGGCGATGGCCGACAGCGGCAACGTGGCAACGTGGCGGCCCCGGCACGATCAGGCCAGCACTAGCCCTGCAAAACAGCGACATATGAGCGTGACATGGGGTCTATATGCCTCAATTCTGAAGCGTTCTCGCTCAAACAAGTCCCCACCCCTTCGTTATGATGTCTGGCACCCCAGCAAAGCGGCGGCCAGGGCATTCATACGCTTTGAGTGAACATCCCTGGGCCGGTAGCCACGGGCCTGGGGTGTCACGGTGTCACGCTGGGTGACAGGAGCCCTCCCGCGCCCTGCCTGGCTCGCGTGCTGCGCCCAAGTCACCTCCTGGCTTGCAATTGGACCTGTTTAGCCACTGCCAGGCCTCCACACGGTCCATATGGTGGCGTGGTGGGGGCCGTGATGGCCATTCCTTGCTGGCAAGTTGCTGTGCAAGTGCTGCCACAGGCCTGGTGCTTCCTCATACGGACCCAGGGAACATCAGTGATGCCGTCTAAGGCGGCAGGAGGGGCGCAGGCGGTAGCAGGATGCTTGGCTGGGGGGGCGCTGTCAACGGCCAGCCGGCGCCGCCGCCCTCGTGCCGCCCCACCCTGGCCTTCACCCAGCTGCACCCCCACAATCCCCTTTTTTGTTGGCCCAAGTGTTCCATTGGTGCTGACAGGATGTCAGGGAAGCAGTGGGGTGGTTGATGGCGGTCAAATGTTGCGTCTTGGGGTGCTCATTGCCGCCCACGGGCGGGGAGGCGTGTGTGGGCACTCGCG